CACACCAAAGTCCCAACGGAGTCCGCGGTAACGTGGTTTCACTGTTTGGTGGGATTTGTCAATACCAGATTTAATATGCGCTATCGAATTTACCATGTTATTTTATCAAGTTATCTAATTCGGACCACTGTCTTCAGCAACCCATACTTGCCGTAAAAGGCGACTTTGCTTGTCGTCAGAGTCGACTGAAGGTATCGGGTGGTCAGGCTCGCTGACTTGGTTGATGCATGTCATCGTATCCCTATTGCGTGGATCGATGTTCATGATGGCAATCACTGGATTGTCTGGTCCAGACCTCGATTATGAACAGACCGCCGTGATATAGCTGGAATATTGCTGAGTGCGGCGTTAAACAACACACAAACAAAAAGTCTATATCGGGTAAATCCTTCGGAGCCACACAAGTCCGATTTAGACAGAGTGCACTGCGTATATATATTATTTGAACAGAATCGTATAGATCAACGTCAGGACATGAACACCTACGTGCAATCATACGCGGATCCAGAGAGGCGGTGATTGAGGATGTGCAGTGGTGTTGCTATTAACTTGTGCAGCCCTGTCTTTAAGTTTATACATGTTTGTGGGGTTTTTTTATTTTTGGAATCAAAATTTATTAGTCATGCGTTGTATTTTGTATTCATATCAATTTGTTGTACTTAAGGGACCATGGTCCAGTGCCCGTTTCTAGTCTCGATGTTGTAATGTCTGCCTTGTGTGTACCACAGACGTTCTCTCTGTGTAATTATTGTGAAAGTTCACTGCAAGACTAATATTGGTAAACATAATATAATTCGTCATAATCTAAACTTGATTTTGAGTTTAGTCAAGGCCACCGGTCCACATTCAGAAATTACCTATCTGCCCATATCACTTTTGATATCCTGTTTCAGGGTATGCACGTCGATGTTCCGTTGAGTGACAGTACATGGCATAAACCTAACTATAGTTTGCATAGTGTAGTGTCCTCATTCAGCGAGGATGTCCAAGTACGTTTGAGGCGCCGTATGTCATGTCTGCGCCTTAACGACAATCGCTGAATCCCCAAGTGACAAAGGAACAGATATTTAATATACAATTTACCTTTCTATGAGATGAGGGTAATGGTAGACGTTGAGGGTACATAGATAGCATGGTAGTGTAGTGGTTAACGCCCCGGGTCCCAGTTCCACAGAGTGAGTGAGTGAGTGAGTGAGTGAGTGAGTGAGTGAGTGGGTGAGTGAGTGAGTGAGTGAGTGAATGAGTGAGTGAGTGAGTGAGTGTGTGAGTGTTGACTTACATCACAATGAACAGTTTTGTTTTGTCACGACCTGTTCTTCCATGACAGATGTCATCAAGGTTAAGATGTCGATGAATACAACGTTCACAACAACAGGTGGTGAATAAACTATATGGGCAACTTGTCGCCTTTGGCCTTTCAAAGCGACAGGTTGATATTTTCCTTCACTTAGCAGTTGTTCACATTAAGAGTTTGCATGAAATTTTGCATGTTTTAATTTGAGGTTAACTTTCTAAAAGGAGGGAAGATCCGAAAGAGACATCACAGAGCTACCACCACAATGATAGTCACAACCACCAACAACACCAACACCAACACCAACACCATCACACAACTACCACCACAATCATAGTCGCCACCACCAACAACACCAACAATCCTCCCCATCACACCACCATCACCAACCACTCTTGGTCACCATCACCAACAACACCAACACAAACTCCATCACACAACTACCACCACAATCATAGTCACCATCACCAACAACATCAACCCCAACACCATCACTCCACTACCACTACAACCATAGTCACCACCACCAACACCGACAAAACCATCACACTACTACCACCACACTCTTGGTCACCATCACCAACAACACCAACACCAACACCAACACCAACACCATCACACCACTACCACCACAACCACAGTCACCACCAACAACACCAACACCATCACAAACAACACCAACACCATCACACCAATGTCACCACAATCATAGTCACCTTCACCAACAACACCACAACCAACAGTCAACTACCACCACAATCATAGTCATTATCACCAACAACACCAACACCAACAGTCAACTACCACCACAATCATAGTCACCATCACCAACAACACCAACACCAACAGTCAACTACCACCACAAATATAGTCACCATAACCAACAACACCAACACCAACAGTCAACTACTACTACAATCATAGTCACCATCACCAACAACACCACAACCAACAGTCAACTACCACCACAATCATAGTCTCCATCACCAACAACACCAACACCAACAGTCAACTACCACCACAATCATAGTCTCCATCACCAACAACACCACAACCAACAGTCAACTACCACCACAGTCAAAGTCACCATCACCAACAACACCAACACCATTACACAACAACCACCACAACCACCAACACCAACACCATCACTCAACTAACACCACAATCATAGTCACCATCACCAACAACACCACAACCAACAGTCAACTACCACCACAATCATAGTCACCATCACCAACAACACCAACACCATCACACAACAACCACCACAGCCACCACACCAACACCATCACGCAAGTACCACCACACTCATAGTCACCATCACCAACAACACCAACACCATCACACAACTACCACCACAATCATAGTCACCATCACCAACAACACCAACACCAACAGTCAACTACCACCACAATCATAGTCACCATCACCAACAACACCAACACCATTACACAACAACCACCACAACCACCAACACCATCACTCAACTACCACCACTCTTGGTCACCATCACCAACAACACCACAACCAACAGTCAACTACCACCACAATCATAGTCACCATCACCAACAACATCAACACCATTACACAACAACCACCACAACCACCAACACCAACACCATCACTCAACTACCACCACAATCACAGTCACCATCACCAACAACACCACAACCAACAGTCAACTACCACCACAATGATAGTCACCATCACCAACAACACCAACAGTCAACTACCACCACAATCATAGTCACCATCACCAACAACACCAACACCAACAGTCAACTACCACCACTCTTGGTCACCATCACCAACAACACCAACACCAACACCATCACTCAACTACCACCACTCTTGGTCACCATCACCAACAACACCAACACCAACAGTTTACTACCACCACAATCATAGTCACCATCACCAACAACACCAACACCATTACACAACAACCACCAACACCAACACCATCACTCAACTACCACCACTCTTGGTCACCATCACCAACAACACCACAACCAACAGTCAACTACCACCACAATCATAGTCACCATCACCAACAACACCAACACCAACAGTCAACTACCCCCACAATCATAGTCACCATCACCAACAACACCAACACCATTACACAACAACCACCACAACCACCAACACCAACACCATCACTCAACTACCACCACTCTTGGTCACCATCACCAACAACACCACAACCAACAGTCAACTACCACCACACTCATAGTCACCATCACCAACAACACCAACACCATCACACAACAACCACCACAACCACCACACCAACACCATCACGCAAGTACCACCACACTCATAATCACCATCACCAACAACACCAACACAATCACACAACTACCGCCACAACCACCAACACCAACACCAACACCATCGCACAGCTACCACCACACTCAAAGTCACCATCACCAACAACACCAACACCATCACACAACAACCACCACAACCATAGCCACAAACACCAACACCATCACACAACTACCACCACAACCACCAACACCAACACCATCACTCAACTACCACCACTCTTGGTCACCATCACCAACAACACCACAACCAACAGTCAACTACCACCACACTCATAGTCACCATCATCAACAACACCAACACCATCACACAACAACCACCACAACCACCACACCAACACCATCACGCAAGTACCACCACACTCATAATCACCATCACCAACAACACCAACACAATCACACAACTACCGCCACAACCACCAACACCAACACCATCGCACACACTCAAAGTCACCATCACCAACAACACCAACACCATCACACAACAACCACCACAACCATAGCCACAAACACCAACACCATCACACAACTACCACCACAATCATAGTCACCACCACCACCAACACAATTCTGTCCCTTCCATCACATACCTTCCACCTTAATTTTCCACCGCAACTCGTCTAAACTCTCCCATAATTTGCTGGACAGGAGACACGATTCAGTTATTAGATAAAACATTTTGTCGAACAGTGCATGCTTTATGTCATTTCCTGAGGTGATGAATTACATGGAACCAACTACTTCCCTTCCAGAAACCTTCACTTCACGATCGACATCAACATCAACACCATCACCATCACACAACTACCACCACAATCATAGTCACCATCATCATCACCATCACCAACAATACCAACACCAACACTCAACTACCACCACACTCATAGTCACCATCACCAACAACACCAACACCATCACACAACTACCATCACAACCATGGCCACCATCACCATCACCAACAATTACAACACCAACACTCAACTGCCACCACACTCATAGTCACCATCACCAACAACATTTAGAATATATTATTGTTGAAATTGTCTAGGAGATATCTCTACATGTGTATATGCAGCGAATAGGTATTATTCCGAGTTTTGTATAAACCAAAATTGAGCAATGAATCATGCAGATGGCTGTTTTGTAATACTTTCCACAGCTGAGATGACAGGTCCTGTTTGTAAAGAGCACTGAGTTGATATCCATGTACCGATAATAATCAAGTCCTTTTAATACAGCATTAACGGTACACATATGTATCTCAATAAAACTCACACATAAATATTAATATGATTATTTATTTGAAAACAACATTGACACTTTTGTGGACAGCTATTTGTATCTGATTGTGAATATGTTAACATCAGGACAACAGGCAGCAAAAACATAAATAAAGAAAATGGTTTGATTTGTGAAATAGCTTTGATGAAGACCTACTTCGTTATATAGTAACCTTCGTGTACCAATATGACATGTGGAAAAAGTAATTAACTATCCAAGTACGTGGATTTACCGATCACCTGTCTCGAGAGAATAAATGGTGAGACTCCGAGCCTTTGTTGAAGGACATACACCATTCATTCTAGAGGGACAGAAAATCCAGAAAAAGAAAGCAAACAAAAATTGGCTATTGTCTTCAATATGCGTGTAGGTGAATCTGCATGGTAATCCGGCTCTTTCGTGAAAAACGTTATAACGGGACTGTAAACAGACACTATCAGGAGAACGTCAACAAAGTATTAAGATAAAACCGGTACTTATCATGAAGTGTCTTTCTTTCTTTATCCTATGACAAGAATAACTATTTCTCGACTGTGTATAGTTACACGAACTTTCAAATAGCTAAGAATTTACAGTTACATTATCTTCATATTGGTTCCGCTTTTACCATTTCCTGTGTTCACTTTATTTTGACTCCAATTCATAATATTCCGGGTTAGAATTAGACCACATCAAACTACTGCTTGACGTAGGAGGCGAGAAATTTGCAATTGGATAGGGTCTTCAGGAAGTACTCATTATATCAACCATTCGTATGTCTGGTACACATTACATTAAGGAAATACAATATGCCGTCACAGATAAGTCGTAATTATTAAGATTTACTCTTGTATTACAGGCGTGTAGGTTCATCAGTTGCCTTTAAAGCGTAAAGTAGTTTCGTAAAGCAGTGGGGAAGCATTTAAAGCAAATACGTGTCAGGTTAGAAAGATAAATCAGTCATCTCCAGGTGCTTCTCGAGAGGATTTCTCCTTGACAAGTTCTTCTCGAATTTGTGCCACTACGGATTTCTTTTTCATATATGGCCTCAAAATGTGACCGGATTCTTCGTTGTACTTTCTGTATATGGCCTTCTCTGGTTTTGCCAGACAGCATATCTCCCTCCGTTGTCGTATACAATCCCTTGTGAATTGTTTGTACATCTCGTTGGTGACTGTGTCGTCAGCAGAGTCAAGAAACAGACGGATGTCCAGCTCTAGTTCCTGCCATCCGGCGCCTGTCTTGTTGGCGAGCTCTTGCTTCTTCTCAAACTTTTCAAGAAGAAACATGCTACCAACTTTGAAGGTGCAGGTCGCTACAGTGATTACTCCGATGATGATCTTAGATATTGCAGGGAGCAGTCCGTCTCCCACGGGGATGTACTGGGATAGATTCGCTGTAGCTACGCCCATAAGTAGGCTAGCTACAACGAGCGCCCAGAACGACAAGTTAGCGTACTTGTCTGACTGTTCGTACATCATATAAGACCCTATCATGCTGCGAATTCTTAGTTCGGATAACAAGACACCACATGCTTCAATGACCTGGCTTTTTGCTTCAGTTAGAGACTGAGGCTTGGGTTGAGGTTGGGGCTGAGGCTGAGATTTATGCTTCTCTTGACGCTGAAGTTCAGGTTGAATCTGAGGCTCGTGTTGAGGCTTGGTTTGAGAATGAAGTTGAGGTTCGTGTTGAGCCTGGGGTTGAGGCTGGGTTTCCGGTTGGGGTTGAGGCTGCGGTTGCGGTTGAGGTTCAGGTTGAAACTCGAATTGAGGCTGGGTTTGAGGCTGAGGTTGAGCCTGAGCTTGAGGCTGGGGTTCAGATTGAGGTTGAGGGTGAGTCTCATCTGCCTCTTGAGGTTGACTTCTGGTTGTTGACATTTTGTTGGTGATAGCAAGTCACTGAAAAAATGGAAGATATTAAGAATATCAAAATTACGTGTCATTCCACTACGTCGCCAAACTTTATTACTTTATACATTGGATTTATGTGTTGTATTCGTATCTTTTCCTCCACTTAAAGAGGGCCACAATTCTAGTATCGATTTTGTAATGTGTAATGGGTGCCACGTGAATACCTAAGACACCGTCTCTGTGTAATCACAGCAATAGTTAACTGCTATTTTGATATACACAATGCAATTTAAGTTCACAATAACCTAAGGGGCGGTCTGGTAGCCTAGTGGTTAAAGCGTCCGCTCGTCACGCCGAAGACCCAGGTTCGATTCCCGACATGGGTACCATGTGTGAAGCCCATTTCGGTTCTCCCCCGCCGTGGTATTGCTGGAATATTGCTAAAAGCGACGTAAAACCATTCATTCACTCACAATATTCTTAAGTGGGTTCTCAGTCGTGTCCCTTTAAGGAAGTTACCTGTCTATGAATAACACTTTTGATTTCCTGGGTATGCATTTTCAGGGTATGCATGTCAATTCGATAAGGTGAGGTGAAATGGGTTTAACGTCGCGTTCAAGGTTATCTCACTTACTAGTATATAGTGACGAGCATGCACGTGTGTGCGTGCGTGCGTGTGGCTGCTTGTACCAGTCCGGACTAATGCCGATTTTATTTAGTGCTAGACCACTGAGATACCATGTCGCTGTTTTAACATGAATACCCCGCCCAGACACGACTCCGAGCCGACAAGTCCTTGTTTTAGCCCCTTAATGCCGAGCGCCAGGCAAGGTAACAACAAGTATTATCTTTTAACGTCTTTTGGTATGACGCGTCCGGGGATTGAACCAACCACCTTCCGCTCTCCGGAAAGACGCTCTACCACTAGACCGCGTCGGCGGTCGGTATGGATGTCGATGTTTCGTTGAGTAACAGTAAACGGTATCAACCTAACGGTAGTTTACATAGTGTAGTTTCCTCATTCGGCGAGGAGGTACTTGAGGCCAAGTCGTCTGAGGTTACGTAATGTCCTGTGCAGAGTAACGTCCCTTTGGTGTGCCATTGCATCTAATTACAAATTAGCCCCGATTATGTTTCTAGGTTTGTTTGCACCATACTCGAGGCTTCACATTAGTTGTAAACGTAGACGATTTGCATCACTTCGGACTTTCCTCCCTTTGTAATTCGTCACGCCGTGATATAACTGAAATACCGTTCTTTAAACCCAACTCACTCACTCACTCACTCACTCACTCAACCTTTCAAACACTGGCTTCCCTGTCTTAGGTTTCGCTCACAACGATCTCAGACGACAGCCGTAAGTCTAATTAGAAGCATAGGATCACTAAGATCGCTTCGTTGGGGGCATACCTAGACTAGCCCATCTGCAGACAACTAGTGATATAGCATTGCCGACTGAGGAGTCCCTGCACAATGTTACTCACGTATAACTCCTGGCTGTCGGCTCCACTCCTGGGTGTCCTGTCGCGTGCATGTACTGTACAGTTCTTGTTATATCAGTCACGTGGTAGACTTCTACAAATATGAAATACAGATATGACACCAAATAAGTTTATCAGTCGTATCAACCATTGACATTTGACTAATCTGTTTGTTTTCCTTCTGTAGGGCGTGTGTGTTTCCCTGTGTTATCCATTTTCCTTATAAAGGTTTCATATTTGCTTAATGACCCATAAGTCCTTGTTTAGTCTGTCTTAAAGACCCTGATACAAATATATGAATTACAGCCCATGCAAGTCTATAATGTTTGGCAAGTCTAGATTACTGCAGTATCAGAATCTGTATCGGTATCTGAAAATGAAGACAGTCTCTGGGCTCCTTTTTATTATATATTTATTAAGATAATTGAACAACTGTTTTTTTTCTGTACGATATGTTTATTTCAGAGACTAGATGTTAGTCTAGTCCTTGTTATCAGGAGATAGTATTTTTCCTCAGTTAATTATTTTCAAATGTCTATAGCATTGCTTTCCACTCGTATATATTAATTTGTCTTGTCCTAATAACTGTGTAGAGATACTGAGGGTAGAATATGTACCCAGTTTCCTGTTGCAAGAACATAAATGGGGATGGATTAAGGCAGGGCGGGACAACTTAGGAATGGCCAGGAGTCCGAACTTGACCACACAGAAGGAAGCGAGCTACAAAAACATGTTTTATATCACTGGAAAGCTCTCGAGGAGACGAATCCAAATAATGTGTGTCCCAGTGTGTTCACGTGTTCATAAGCTCAAAAATTGGCTCAGAAAATGCATTACTGCAGAAATTTCTGGCCGAATTTTTTTTTTCTGCAGAAATTTCTGGCAGTATTTTTTTTTTCTACAGAAATTTCTGGCCGAATTTTTTTTTTTCTACAGAAATTTCTGGCCGAATTTTTTTCTGCAGTAATATTTAGCAGAATTATTTTAATTCAGGAGAAATAAGATTCAATCATTGGATAGTTTAACCTGGAGTTGCTTCAAATGACCTTCTCCTCAAAACAAACATTTTTAGTTCACATGATTATAAGCAATAAAATAAAACTAATTTCGTGAGATATTTCAAAAAATTGTTTATTCACATGCTATATTACAAGACAATTTCTTGGGAGACTTTGCACTTTCATTCTCATGAATGAGTCGTATTTTCTTGGGTGAGGTGATTTTTTCAGAGATGGGTCCTGTCACAAAAGAAAATAGATGTATAGATGAGTGGATCCATATTGTCTAATATAATGGATAATGGCAGCCTATACGCAGCTAGAGTTTAACTTTACAATAGAGCCTGCGGAATAAAATGTATTATGTAAATAGTGTGCTTTACTTACGTTTTCTTCTCAACATACTTGAAATGAATTCTTTTTTTCGTCTGGTCATTGAAAGCTATGTGCACATATTCTGAAAAGATATGAAAAAAAACATTAAAATGCTTTTCATTTCAGTAATTAACACATTCCACAAGCTTTAGGCACATGAACAAAGTAAGATAAGTGAGGTGAGTTGAAATTGGGTTGAATGTCGCGTCCAAGATAATTGCACTTATATAGCATGTGCGTGCGTGCGTGTGAGTGTGTGTGTGAGTGCGTGCTTGTACTAGTCGTCTGCATCTTCCGTTTTGTATAGGTCACTCCATCAGTTGTCAGTGACTGCATACTTGTGTAGGGGGCACTCAATGTTCACACTGTCATAAAGCTGAAATTATATAAGGATGAGTATACTGCGAAAATTAAGTTGGATTAATTCGTTAAAAGAGACTTATGTATCATGTTTGGGAGAGGCATTCAGATAAGCAAAATTTGCTTGTTTGCCAATCCCTCCACTTTATGGAAATAAATATGTTTATATCAAGAGACTTCTAAACCATAACCGAACTCAAAACTAACCCCATGTGTCGTAAATGGGTGCTCTAAAGTAAAAGGATGGTTAACACGTGTTTCATTGGCAAGGGGTACTCAACCCTTATGATCGGAAAGGGGGTCCAAGGACAAAGGAGAGACCAGACCTACTATCCAGAGGGGCCAGCCTGGTACAAGACTTAGTGTAAAGCTAGCCTAGTCTATGTCATCAGCAGCTGGTCACTGCGGCGGAATGTGGTTTTGGCGTTGCTGTTCAAGTTCGAATTTCCGATAGGCCTGTCTCCACTAAAAAAAATAGATAAATTTTCGGACAGCATAATCTGGTGTCAGATCTTAAAAAAGTTCCGAACGACTGTGAAACCATGGTAAGAAGTATTATTATTATTGAAGCAACCTTCCCAAATGTGTGTGCTGCATAAGCCGGAGTGGTTCCCCTTGAATTTCCAAAATATGAATCGACAGACGAAACGAAAATTAGTTCGCTTGACATATCCAGTTGGGGGTTATTCTTTTTTAGTTTGGTGGGAAAATGATATGAAACACTGGGGTCTGACTGACTGATATAGGAGATTTAACGTGCGCTTTCCGACTGTAGCGTATTTCGCATACGGGCCTGGCCGGACCATTTATTGTATTCCGAAAAGGGTGAAAGTGATGTGTGCAACCCAAGAGGGGGCTTTTAGGGGTTGCTTATATTGAAGTTTCTGGAATTTTTAAATTTGGAATAAATGCCGAGGTGGGTGGAGGAGGGAACTAAGGGAGCCGGGTGAGGTGGGTGTTTGTATGTTTATTGGATTTTGGATTGGTAGATTAATTAGTTTTTAGATGCGCTTAATTAGGTCTGTTTTTATTAGGAATACGCCTAGGGCCTTGAAGTTTTCTAGTTTATTTTGAGGGTTCAGTATTTCATCTAGAGTAGGAACCTTATTTAGATTGAGGGTGGTTTGTAGTGTGGTTCTGTGTGTTTGGTAGTGGGTGCAGTGGATGAGTGCGTGTTCCGTGGTTTCGGGTTGTTTGCAGTGGGGGCAGTTGCCTGTGATGTGTCTTTTAAGTTTTTTTAGGTGGTTATTTAGGTTCGTGTGTCCTGTTTCGAGTTTTGTAATAAATCTGTCAATTTTTTTAGAGAGGTGTAGGATTTCAGGTTTGGCTAGTGGTTTTCTGAGCACTTTTTTGATTTGGCTATTTGAGTTTTGATATTGATTATGCCATTTTTTGGTTATTTTTTGTTTGTTTACACTTTTAATTTCTGATTTTGAGATGGGTAGGTTTAGGCTTATTACTGGTATTTTGAGAGATAATGTAGCTGCTTTATCGGCGCTTTCGTTGCCGTAAATTCCTACGTGGGCGGGGATCCACAAGAAGGTTATTTGTTTGCCTGCTTTTTTTAGGTCGTCGGAGCTTTTAAGTATTTGGTTTATTAATTTAGGTCGTTTTTTGGTATTTTTGTTTTGGAGGGCTTTTAGTCCACTAAGAGAGTCGGTGAGAGTTAGGATTTTATTGTTGTTTTTAGATTGGGGCTGCCCAAGTACTAAATATATCATACAATTATTGAAATACCCGTATACATTGTGATTGTCGAGTGACCCTGTGAACAACCAACACCCTCCTTTTACCCCCCCCCCCCCCCCCCCCCAAGTAGCACGCTTAAGACTGTTTAATTGACAGCTGTTAATTGGTAACGGTCAAGCCTCAGTGAATTTGCATTGGGAGTGTGTGTGAGGGGGCGTCTGAAATAAAGGTGGATTCAGTCGGAATAAAGATAAGATAATGATCTCATAAATTTTATTGAAGGCTTTGAAAGTTTAGGATCGGCGAGACCGTAACACAGAGTAATTAACAAAACGATCACGTGATCGTGGCGCCGATAGACAATACCAACCGACCACGTGCGCGAGACAATGTATCACCGTATGAAGTGACAATACCCGAGGATATTTAATTGCCAAGTTGGCAGGAAGTCTGGCGGCACGGCACGTAAAAATAAGCGTCGTTTGGGTATTCTAAATTGTCTGAGCACCAGCTTTGATGGGGCAATAAGAGAAGATGATATATATGTTTATTTTAGGAAAACATTAATACAACAATTTGTTATATTAATAAACATTGGGTCTATAAAGTTATTTATATCTAAATATTTCTAACGTTATAAATAATAGAAAACTCGCATGTAAATTATCAAAATACTGCATGGATTGGTATTTTGTAATTTTCCGTGTTTTCACTTTCACTGATCACCACAGGCAAATTCATGGTAACATAGCTACACTACAAGTGTCGCCATACAGCTACAATAAGTTGCCTAATGTACATGTAGACAGTATACAAGTCGCAATAACACCATAGGGGATGGAGATATCTCCTTTTCAGATTAGATTGTTTGCGTATTTTTTTTATCAAAAGTGGTAGAAATAAATACACTAAAATTAGACTCTTACAAAACGCGTTTCGCATGGCAGCAGAGCCAAACATTCACTGTTTGGAGTACAGGTTGTTATTTGGTTGTTGTTATATGAAATAACCGTGTTACCAAAATTCCACGTTCTAGGGTCGGCGTTTCCAGAAATAAAACAATAAATATTTTGACGTTTACCTGTATCGTAACTGCAAGACGGTAACCAGACCCTGTAACTCTGCTGACTGCACGTGGTTCGGGATCTTTGCTGTGGCTGAAATAAAGAGTGCTATGTTTTACAGAAAAAGACCACGTTGCTTGTGCCATTGTGCAAAGACATTGTGCGTAGGTAAGATTCTGAATATACACGAATATATACAAGTCACGTGACAAAGAAGGTATTTACATGAAAGATATTTCAAATCTCGATGTTAGAGACCTTGAGAAATGTAGATTTAACTGAATCCAATCCGATTTAGTGTTACTATCATTCATTACAAATGGATAATACGATATTGCATTATAGAGAGGGTAATTATAGCTACCTGAAGGAGCAACCATATGTCCACTCTTTGAAGTTGCCGCCAAACCGGACGCGTTATTGTAACTTGCAAGAACACTGTGTACACAGCTTCTTTCTAAATTTGGAGAAGCGTAAGTGTGGTGAAAGAACAATATGAATGTAAGTCAGGCATGAAGTGGCACGGAGGAACCAACGTGAGACTTTATAATCACATGGTTGTTCATATATGTTGTTTAATGCGTGATAGGTATTACCGCTTAAAAGGT